AGTATACACTCCCATTCTTGATTACCTGTTGAGGAGGTATTTTGCATGTGTTGAAAAAATAGACTCTATTGTGAAATAAAATTGTGAAGAACACCCACGAGCACACATACTCCTTTGAGTACACACTCCTGTTGTTGATTAGCTGTTGAGGAGGTATTTTGCATGTGTTAGAATAATCAGATTCTGTTGTGAAATAATATTTTGAAGAACTCCGGTGAGCACACACTCTCGTGAGCACAGGGATCACATATGAGGTGCCGCAAATTGAACCCCCGGTTGGCCACATGCAAGGTAAGTGCCCTATTTGCTAGATTATTGTTCTGGTCCCATATTCTCAGGTTTTGATCTCCACAGCGGGAGGGGGTGTCCTGAATCCAGCCCCCCCACCCCGCTCCAGATACCACAGCAAAGCAGTCAGATGAGTGGGGGTGCTATCAATGAGTTCTTTTTTTCTTTTTTCTTTTTTTTTTTACTTCTTGGGTCACACCCAGGAACAGCTGTGATTCCTGGATTGCATGCAGGAATTATTCCTGGTGATGTTTGAAGGACCATATGGGAATGAACCTGGGTTAGCCACACGCAAGGAAAAATGGTCCTTCTCGCTGTACAATAGAACTCTTAGGGAAGAAATAAAACCAAGGCATGATTCAAAGTAGTTACCCTGTCACTAGCTCAAAAGTAAGGCTGGACTCACTTTGTGGTGACAGTAACTGAAGCTGATAAATTGTAACTGGTGCCAGCAGCAGCCCTGCAGAAGGCTAGACCCCCCACCCCACTCCCGGCAGAATAGAAACAGAAACTTCAGCAGAAACAAAAGACCTTGTGCGGGCTGGAGAGATAGCACACTCGGTAGGGTGTTTGTCTTGCACACCCCGACCTGGGTTTGATTCCCAGCATCCCATATGGTCTCTCGAGCACTGCCAGGAGTAATTCCTGAGTGCATGAGCCAGGAGTAACCCCTGTGCGTCACCGGGTGGGTGTGACCTGGAAAAAAAAAGACCAAAGCCCAGCAACAGTTTAAAGCTCTCCCTGTGTCAAAACTGGGTCAAGGCAATTTGAAGAATATCCATGGACAACCTCGCTCCAGCTGTGAGTCAGGGCTCTGACCCTGGAGGAGCCCACACTATCTCTTGGCCACATTCTGTTCTCTTTCCCTCCTCCTCATCCCTATGCAAAACCGTTTTACTTCACTATTTGTTTCCTGAAATTCTTTTCAGCAAGGGGAAAGAAGAGCACTAGAAAGACATTAGAACAGAGTTTTCCTTTTTCTTTTCTTTTGCTTGTTTTGTTTGGGGGCCATATGGATGCTCAGGGCTGACTCCTGGCTCTACTGAGCTCAGGGATCTCTCCTGGCAGGGCTTAGGGGCACCATATGGGATGCCTATAAGGTTTAAGTACCCTCTCCGCTCTACTGTGTTCAGGACTGAGTTTCCTTTTTCTGAAAAGACCAACTCCTCCTCCAGCCTCAATCCCACAGCACTCCAAGACACTGAGAAATCAGGAGGTAAGGATTCATTCCTACCCCATAAAATCAAATGGGACATAATCCACTGATTGCCTAGTGGAGCTGGTGAGACACAAGCATCCAGGCCAGGCAGGTGCTGGTGGCAGACTGTCACAGTCCTGAGTCTTCCAGGTCCTGCCCTGGGGGATGGGGAGGGACAGAGGAGGGCTGTCCTGGACCTGGGAGGCCAGCGCCTTGCTTCCCTCTCACTTCACATAAGTCACCTGCAGCAAAAGGAAGATTGGGGGCTGGAGTGATAGTACAGCGGGTAGGGCATTTGTCTTGCATACGGCCGACCAGGGTTTGATTCCCAGCAACTCATATGGTCTCCTGAGCACCACCAGGGGTAATTCCTGAAGGCAGAGCCAGGAATAATCCCTGTGCATCACCGGGTGTGACCCAAAAAAGAAAAAAAAAAGGAAGATTGTAGTTTGTTGGGGGGCCAATGGGTCCCATGTTTAAGCTTCATGTGACCTGAGTACTAGAATCTTCCAGTCCAAATTGCTGGGCTGATTAGCTCTGAGATAGCTACCCTTCCCTACCTCCCACGTCCCCTGTGTCCCCTGCGCCCTGCTTAGAAAGCTCAGAAAATTTGTTTCAGGTAGACTTTTGCTTAGCGGCTATACCTCACAGTGCTCAGAGGTTACTCCTGGCCCTGCACTGAGGAATTACTCCTGGTGGTGCTCAGGGGACCATCTGGAATGCCAGGGATGGAACCCAGGTTGGGCACGTGTGAGGCAAACGTCCTGCCTGCTGTGTCAAGTGGAATTTTGACTCCAATGGGGTCTCCACTGCTAGACTGTGACCCTGGTCAAGGGTTGGGCCCATTTTGTGGTCACCTGATGTTTTTGAAAGCTTCCCTTTCTGCTTAAGTCCAGGCCACCGGCATTACCATTTCACTTCATGGAACTGGTTTTCTGCATAAGTGAAGAAAAGAATTACAAAATAAGCAAGACACCCAGCTAGTCCCAAAGGTCAAACCCATGAGTGACAGTTAAGCCTGTCCCCAGGAATGTGTCAAACACTGCTGGACTCCTGGACTCAGCAGGCCCTGTTCTCTTTCTGTAATAGTCTCTCCTTGAGGTTAGCTCAATCCCTTCCACTCCCAGCTGTAAGGCCTCCTTCTCCAGGAAGTCTTCCCTGGCCTCCAGACTGAATTAACTTCCAGAAGCCCTCAAACCAGCCCTATTGGGCCTGGATTGCTACTGAATCAATCTCTTGGGTTCCCAGAGGCCCTCAAACCAGCCCTGTTGAGCCTGGGTTATTACCATTTGGGGAATGTGTCAGATTCCACACCCCCTCACTCCCCCTCCCAACCAGTTCTCAGAGAAATTGAGCTCAGGATGTGAGGGGCAGACTCAAAGACATTTGAGATCAAATACCCCAACTGGTCAGGTATGGAGCACAACCAACTTCTCGGCTTCCAAATCAGTGAAGAAGGAATCCCGGTTAATGGAGACGAGACCATGTTTGACAGTAATTCCTGCCTGAGGAGTTTTGATGTTGGGGGTCATACCTCACAGTCCTCAGGCACGACTCCTGGTTTTGTGCTCACTGGAGCATCAGATGTTGCCAGGGAACAAACCTGGGCATCTTGCATGCGCAGCTGTTTTCAGCCACCCCAGCTCTCTCCAGCTCTGCCCTGGGTTTCCACATTTGCTCTTTCTGCCTCTCCAGTCACTTTTCTTATTACTCCACAGGCTCATTCTGGCCAATGGGTCTCATGGGGAATGTTATTTCCCACTCCAATGCCTTCTCCATCTCTCCTGGACATGCAGCCCCTGGGTTTCCCACTGGAATTCTGGCAAGGAACTCTTTTTGGGTTTTGTTTTGGGGCTCCACCTGGCAATGCTTAGGGGTTACTCCTGGCTGTGCCCTCAGGAATCACTCCTGGTGGTGCACAGGGACCTTATGGGATGCTGGGGATCAAACCTGGATCAGCCACATGCAAGGCAAGCTCTCTCCCCTCCGCACTAGTGCTCTAGCCCCTGACAAGGAGCTTTTCTTGGTTTGGTTGGCTTTGGGGGTCATGCCTGGTGGGGCATGAAATTTCAGTGTAATGACCATGCTGGCTGGGGATCGAACCCAGGTCGTTTACCTGCAAACCTTGAGTCATGTCCTTGCCCCTGCAAGAAATCCACTTTTTCCTTTCCTCTCTGTTTAGGTAATATGATTATAGTAATGTTAATAATGTTAAAGCTTATTGTGTTAGGGGCCAGAGATAACGATAGTACAGTGGGAAGGGCACCCGCCTTGAACATGGCTTACATATGTCTTGGGCCCCAGCATCCCATATGGTCCCCTGAACCCCTCCAGGAGTGATCCTGAGGGCAGCGCCAAGAGGAAGCCCTGAGCACTCTCAGATGTGGCCCCCAAACAAAAAGTAAATTAACTGTTTGATAAGCAACCCCTCGCCAGGGATGCGGCTCCGCCAGCGGCAGAGAACAAGCCTGCGCTGAGACGCCTGGGTTCCAGCAGGCAAAACCAGAAACTTTTGGGAGCCATAACTATAGAACAGCCGGGAGGTCGCTTGCCTTGCACGTGGCCGACCCAGGTTCGATCTCTGGCATTCCATATGGTCCCCCGAGCAGCGCCGGAAGGATCCCTGAGTGCAGAACAAGGAGTAAGCCCTGAGCATCGCTGGGTGTGGCCCAAAACACACCTTCCGCAAAAGGATGGACGTTTACCATGTGCATATTTCCAGCAGAGGAGTGGAAGCTCTCGGAGCTGACCAGAGAGCGAGCTAAGGGAGCAGGGAAGACGCTCCAAGCTGAGGGCACTGGCCAGCAAGGCTCCCCCAGCACCGAACACCTACGCGGTCCAGAGACCCTCGCACCTGCGAACCCCGAACTCCAGCGGTTTAACGGGCGCAACCCACCATTCCGTTTCCCGGCCGCAGCTGGCCCCGCCCTGGACACGGCCATTGTTATTTTGGCCACTCGGGGCAACTGGGGCACCCCCTTACCCCAGGGGGCCTCGGCCCCGCCCCTCGACGGTAAGATGGGCTCTATCCAATCGGCGCCCGCCGCTTAATCCCGTCCGCTGAAGCCCCACCCCCTCCCGTCGCCCTGGCCGCTTCCGCGGGGCTGGCTCAGAGCCCTCTGCGCGCCCACGAAGTCCGGGCGCCCCGACCCTGCCGTCCCCGGAGGTCTCCGCCCGCCGCCTTCCGTAGCCACGCGCCTGGATTTGCCAGCTCGGGAGCCTGAGTCTCCTCTCTCAGGAGCTTCGTGACCGGGATCCCTGCCTTCAGCGCTACCGACCAGCCCTCGCTGTCCAGGACCTCGGATTCGTGGGTTCCCGCCTCCAGGATCCGCCTGTCCCGGATCTTGCAGTCCGTCGGCTGCTTGAACGCCCGCAGCCTTCCGGAGCGAGGAGCCCCGCTCAGCTTCCAGCCCGAGCGACTACCGAATCTCCCCACTTCTTGGGCGCACCCGACCTCTCCTCCCACCCCTCACCCCCCCACCCCCAGCCCTCTTGATCGGAGCCGTCTCGCGCCCCAGCCTCAGCCTCTGGCGCGGACCGTCCCTCCAGCTCCCTGGGGCTGTAAAGTTCCAGTTCCCGTGCGCCCGCTGGCCGAACTGCACTCTCGGGGCCCAGGGACGTCGCCGGGGGCAGGACGCCCCGTGCGCTTGCAGCTTCCAGGCGCCAAGGAAGCCTTCCACCTCGGGTGCGCCTCCCTCCCCCCACACCATGGTGACTGATCTCCCCAAGGTCGACCCCAAGATATGCACCGCGGCCGAGCCCGCCGCCAACGGGGTCTCGGCGCGCGTGACGGTGGAGCAGGAGGAGGAGGGCGGCGGGGACGGCGCGGGCGCCCGTTTGCGCCGCTGCCTGCGCGCCAATCTGCTGGTGTTGCTGACCGTGGCGGCAGTGGTGGCGGGCGTGGTGCTGGGTTTGGTGGTGCTGGAGAGCCGCGGCGGCGCGGCGCTGGACCCCGCAAGCCTGGAAGCCTTCTCCTTCCCCGGCGAGCTGCTGCTGCGCATGCTGAAGATGATCATCCTCCCGCTGGTGGTGTGCAGCCTGGTGGGCGGCGCCGCCAGCCTGGACCCCAGCGCGCTCGGCCGTCTGGGAGCCTGGGCACTGCTCTTCTTCATGGTGACCACGCTGCTGGCCTCGGCGCTCGGAGTGGGCCTGGCGCTGGCGCTGCAGCCTGGAGCCGGCTACGCGGTCACCAATACCTCGGTGGGCGCCCTGGGGTCTGAGCCCGAGGCCCCCAGCAAGGAAGTGGTCGATTCGTTCCTGGATCTTGTGAGGTCAGAACCCAGTTCTCACCGTCCCCCCCCCCAAAAAAGAAAACAAAAAAATCCCCCCCCCCCGGAGGGGAGGAGGGAACGGTGGGGTGGGGGTGGGTTGCCCTGGCCACGTGGACCGATCACTAGAGGGCTGAGTAGAGAAGGCTCCGCAAGGGGTGGCTCAGGGACTTCTAGATAATGACTTGGAGGACAGCATGTGGGGGCCTGGGCGCCCCTGGAGGATGAGAAGAGGGTCCATTGATCCCACTGGACCCTCTCCCAGTCCCGGCGCCACGCGGCACCTGGCCCCAGCCAGCCGTTCTGAGGCTTGCTTTCTTCTGGCCTGGGAGGCCCTGACCCCCCATTTCTGCTTCTGGTGAGTTCTGATTCCTTTTCTGCTTCCTGCCCCTCACTGACAGACCCCTAATACATGTACACGTGTGCAGGCACACATACAGCTGCCCACGAAGTGACCTGTTAGAAAGGGGGCAGATTCTTTCCTTCCTTCTGTGGAGATTCCCCCACCCCCAGGCCCTCACCACGTTTTCTGCTTGCCCCGCTTTGAAGGGGAGGGTCAATTTCCCTGGTCCCTGTGACCTTGCCTTTGGGGCTTCCGCTGATTCAGTGCCCCCAAATTATGGGGGAGGAAATAATGAGTCACAGACCAGACCCAGTTCCCCCAAGCCTTTGGGGGCATCCCTCGGAGATGATGGGGGTGGGAGGGTAGTTTCCAGGAGCAGGGGGTGGGCACCTCCTGGCGGGTGGAGATTAGCCAGGACTCAGCCCAGCCCTGGGCTGGCAGGGCGGGCACACCCAGCCCTATGCTGTCTGTTCCCCACCTGTGGAATTAATGTAACCCACACTTGCCCGCCCCTGAGACTGAGCTGGAGCCACTCAGGGACAAACAGGTCATTTATTTAGTTAGTTTTGGGGTTTTGAGAGGGCACACCTCGTGGTGCTGTGCTGGGAATCATATCCAGGCTTCATCAATGCCACGACTTGTGCTCAGCCCCTGGGAGCCCCGGAGCCACGCAATTTAGTTTATTTCTTTTTGGTCTTGTGGAGGCCACACCCGGTAGTGCTCAGGCTTACTCCTGGCTCCGCACTCAGGAATCACTCCTGGTGGTGCTTGGGGGAAGTATGGGATGCCGAGGATTGAACCCGGGTCAGCTGCGACAAGGCAAGCGTCCTCCCAGCTGTCCTATTGCTCCAGCACCTGTCGCACAATTTTAGATCCAGCTGGACACAGACACGCGCCCCAAGTGCCATAGCACCCAATGGCACCGTCACTTTGCACCACCAGGTACACAGAAGCCCACTAAGACGCACTGACCTTTGTTATGGTCATTCCCGGACAGCCACACACCGTGCGCAGCCCACCCTGGGCTCCAGAGCTCACTGCCTGCCCAACCCTGGCCCCGAGTGGCATGGACAGAACATATGGGGCCAGAGCAGTGAGGAGGGGGCGCCTCGGGGTCTTGGGGAGGGGCCAGCTGTCAGGCTTCAAAACCCTGAAACTGCTGGAAACACAAGCCTTTTCCTCCCTGCCTGTGCTTCATTTTCCTTTTCTTTAAGATGGGGGTGGGGTGAGGAGGGATGCAAGGGAGTCCTTCCCATTGCAACTGTTCTGACTCCCCCCACCTCTTGAAGCCCCCCACCCCCACCCCTACCCCCCCCCTTGTAGCCCGCAGGAAGTGGCTGATGCAAGAGGCCCTGGGGATTAGGTTTGCTGTTGGGGGTGGAGCTTGCGGGACCCAGAGTCCTCACCCCCAACACACCAGCCCGACCAGACCAGACACTCCCCACAACCTTGCAAGAGGGGTGCAGGGCCTCACAGCCGCATGTCTGAGCCAAGCATGAGCGGAAGGGTACAAACCAGCTTTCACATGTCCCCAGCCCAGAGCCCGCCCCCACTGTACCCCTGTAGTGTCTAATCGCCCCTCTTGTATTTATCTGCAGAAATATCTTCCCTTCCAACCTGGTGTCTGCGACCTTCCGCTCAGTGAGTCCTGGGATGTCCTGGGATGGGGGGCCTGGAAGGACACTGGGGGCCTCATGGGGGGCAGTTCCTGGAAAAAACTCACCAAAAGTGCCACACTCGTGCATGTCCAGGCCGAGGGACAGGGTGCCAGGGGATCTCAGGGCTCAGCCATGCCCCATGTGGACAAAAAGATGGGTTCCATGGGCCCACCCTTCCCCACATACACACCTTCGTTTCTAGTTCTTGCTGTGTGACACTGAGCAGGTGTCTTGGCCTCTCTGAGTCTCAAGCACGCCTCTGGAGAGTGGGGGGTAGTGGCGGTGCTGTCAGTGCAACCACAGTGGGGACTTCCTGGAGGATGGTACAAGCATGCCTGCCATAGGCATGGTGGTTTGTGCGCTGCTGGTGCCCATCTGAAGGTTCGATGAGACTGACATGTCTCCCTCTTCTCCCTCCAGTATTCTACCTCCTATGTGCCCCAAAACATCAGTGGAAACTTGGTGAAGGTAAGCAGGGGTGCGGCAGTGGACCCCCTTTTTGGCCCTTCGGGTGGTTTTTCCATTCTGTCCCGCCACTCCCCCCACCCCTTTTGTCTGTTTTCTTGGTATTTCTGCCAGTTAGTGTCTGATTCAATTTTAACTTGGAAGTTCAGGGCTGGGATGATAGTTCAGTGGGGAGGGTGCTTGCCTCGTACGCAGCTAACCTGGGTTTGATCCCCAGCACCCCATATGGTCCCCCCAAGCCTTACTAGGAGTCAGCCCTGAGCAGCAATAGGTGTGCCCCCCCCCAAGTAAAAGAGCGAAAATCTTAGCTTCTTTCTTTTTTTGGGGGTGGGGTAGAGGGGTTCATACTCAGCAGTGCTCAGAGGTTAGTCCTGGCTTTGCACTCAGATCACTCCTGTCTGTGCCCAGGGGACCCTATGAGATACTGAGGATCGAACCCGGGTCAGCTGTGTGCAGGGCAAATGCCCTCCCCCGCTGTCCTATGGCTCTGGCCCGGGTTGTATTTTTTTCCCTGCCTTTCTGGACACCTCCATTCTGTGTCCTCTTCTCCCTCCCTGCTGCCCCGTTCTGGCTGGCCCAGGCCCCCACTGATCCTTTCCTCTCCCGCCCCTCTTCCCCTCCACCCGCTTTGGAGTTTTGCCTCACTCTAAGCAGTGCTGGGGCTTCAATCCAGGGCTGCCTCAGGCCAAGTGTGTGCTGTGGCCTCTGGCCCCACACCCCGACAGTCTGTAGCACTCTCCTCAGACCTGCCCCACCCCCCCAAGTGTGGCCTGCAAGAGATGCCCCAGGCTCCTCACCAGTGCTCCCCTGTCCTGTGCCTCTGTGCCGCTCTTCCCACTCCAGCCACTGTGAATTTCCTTTTTTGTATTGTTTTGTTTTGTTTTGACCGGCAATGCTTAAAAACTACCCCTGGTGAGGCTGAAACGATAGAATAGCGAGTAGGGCATTTGCCTTGCATGCGATCGACCTGGGTTTGATTCCCAGCATCCCATATGGTCCCCTGAGCACTGCCAGGAGTAATTTCTGAGTGGAGAGCCAGGAGTAACCCCTGTGCATTGCTGGATATGCACCAAAAAGAAAAAAAATACGCCTGGCTCTGTGGTTGGGGATCACTCTAAGAGGGGCTCAGGGGAGCCGTATAGGGTGCCAAGGACTGAACCCAGGTTGGCCATGTGCAAGTCCAGTGGGTTTCTTCCTGCTTTTGAATGTCCATATTCCTTAGTATCTAGACTGGTGCATGATATTTTCTTTCTAGAACTTTCTTCTAGCCCCTTCCTCCAGGTAGCCCTCTCTGGTTTCACTGCTCTCAACCTCAGCAACCCATCGCCCCCCTGTTTATCCCCCCAATCCCCTGCATTACTGCCCCTCATTCCACCCCAACCCATTCTTGGGCCATCCCTGATGATGGGGTGTCTTTTCCTGTCCCTGGGCCAGGAGTCTTGGGAGAGAAGACGCCTTCTCCCGTCAGCAGTGTCCAGGAGCAGACCCCCAAGAATTGTGCTGGTGGCTGGAGCATGGCCCCCTCAGTCCCTGTCTTGTTTCTTGCCCAAAGGTGCCCACAGGGAAGGAGGTGGAAGGCATGAATATCCTGGGTCTGGTGGTGTTTTCCATCGTCTTTGGGGTGGCCCTGCGGAAACTGGGACCTGACGGGGAACTGCTTATCAGCTTCTTCAACTCCTTCAATGATGCCACCATGGTGCTGGTTTCCTGGATCATGTGGTAGGTGGTGCCTGGGGGGTGGCTGCTGGGTGGTCCGGCTTTGTGTCTTTGGACCAGTGTCTTACCCTCTCTGGTCTTCCGTGTCTTTATTGATAAAGTGGAGGGAAGGCTGTGTTCCCTGAGAGCTGACACTGGTACAGGCATCTCCTCCCTTTTATCTTAAGGAGATGTGTTTGGGACCCACTCAGTGCTGCTCAGGTCTTCCTTCTGGCTCTGCAACTCAGGGCTCAGCCTGTCAGGGCCCAGGGGACCCTATCGGGTGTCAAAAATCAAACCGGGGTTGGCTGCATGCAAGCAAGCACCTTCCCACTGTGCTATTGCTCCAGCCTACAGGCACCTTCTTTTATTTTTTTCTTTTCTTTTTGGGTCACGCCCGGCTTTGTACAGGGGTTACTCTGACTCTGCATTCAGAAATTACTTCTGGCAGTGCTCAGGGGACCATATGGGATGCTGGGAATTGAACCCAGGTTGGCCGCAAACAAGGCAAACGCCCTACCCGCTGTGCTATTGCTCCAGCCCTACAGGCACCTTCTTGATCTTACTGGGAGGTAATGGAAAGGGTCCCCAGCCGTGGAGCTTAACACTCGCCCGAGTTTCAGAGGTTGACTTATTTATTTAAAACATTTTTTGGTTTTGTTTTGGGGACCATACCCGGTGATGCTTAGGGGTCACTCCTGGCTCTGCACTCAGGGATCACTCTTGGTGAGGCTCAGGGGGCCCTATGGGATGCCAGGGATCAAACCTAGGTTGGCCGCTGGCAAGGCAGGTATCCTCTCTGCCAGGCTATCTCTCCAGCCTCCAGAGAGTTCTATATTTTCAGGGCATCCCACACTCAGCTCAGGGGGCCTAGTTCCTGGTAACTTTTGGCCTGTGGATCTGAAGATACGGCACTTGGACCCAGCAAATCTGGGGGCACCAGTGGTCCAGGGGATGGGGAGTGGAAAGATCTCCATCTAGTTTGGGGATCCAACTCGGAGCCTAGTGTTGGCTTGCATGTGCTCCAGCCTTTTGCCCTCTTCCCTAAATTTCTAGTGTCAGAGGTTTCAGTGGCATCAGAGACTGGTCTTTGTGTTAAACACGGTCTAAACCAGTGCCCACTGGGCTGGGGAGGTCACCGGCAGGATGAACTTGTACCTGTGTGTATAAAACCCTGGGTTTGAGCACCGACTCCCTGCAGCAGCCCCTCACCCCCGGGGCAGAGCCCTGACAGAGAAAAGGTAGTGGAGTTGCAGATAACACACTTAGACAGCACCTGAAACAGTGCATGCGTTCCTTCCTGTTGGCCACAGTCAGCATCATTATGGCTTTTGATAATGATCCCAGAACATGAAGATAAAAACTCCCAAGGCCATTGATCTTCACTCTTGCTTCCTCGCTTGGTCCAGTTCCTCACAGGGATTCTCTGGATCTACGCTGCCAGGAACTCGGGGCATTTAATAAACCCCTTCTCCCCGGGAGCTGGAGTTATAGGACAGAGGGGAGGGTACTTGCTTTCCATGTGGCCGACCTGGGTTTGAGGCCCGGCCGCCAGGAAGGTCACTTGAGCCCATGAGAGCCAGAAGTGAGTCCTGAACATGACCGCGTGTGGCCCCAAAACAATAGAAATAAGACCATGTCCTTGTAGGAGAGGCAGAGGCAGTAAGGGAAAGGGTCCTCATTGCCCCTGCTGGCCACTTTCTGGGTGCCGTAGGATCAGTTACTCAGCCCTGTCTCTGCTTCCCCATCTGGAAAATGGGTTGGTGGTCCCAGGCACCAATGAGTTAATGTGTGAGATGTTTTCAGGACAGTGGCCGACCTGTAACTTGCACACAGCTGACACTAGCTAATATTTACCCAGGACTTGGCTGTCTAACTTTGGGGCACACCTTACCAGCTAGGACTTGGCGTCTGGCCAGGGCTCACCGCCCAGGTGTCTGGAAAATGGCGTTTTCCTTCTGGGAATTAAGACAAAAATAAGGTTTGGGAAACACCCGGGTGTAGCGCTTAATCTGGTAGGTAATCTGGTGTGGGGGTGCACAAGCTCCCCACACCCCTTCAGCTCCCCTCAGGGAAAAGAGAGGGTGCTGGTAAAGCCCAGCCCAGGTCTAAATTGTGTACAGAGCGATTTCCACTGTGTTCTGCACGCATCATATTTCACCCTCCCAAGATTCTTGGGGTGTGTGTGTGGGGGGGCACAAGGTTACAGTTTGACATCTATTATGAGCTTGTGGTTAAGGCAACAATCTCAGCCCCAAACCCTTGGGAGTGGAGCCCTGGGGGGGGCGGGGGAGGCTTCAGCCAGGTGATGGTGCTGCTGCCAGAGGGGTGGGTACCTCATAAACAGTCAACCCCCTCCCCCCCACACACACCCCTGTCACTGGGCCACACAACACCGGGAGAGAATTTTTGGTTGAAACCACGCGGATGGGAGCCACAGACTCAGAAGAGGGAAAGTCTGCTAGCATGGTGGATGGCTCTATTTTGGGGGTGTCTCACCTCCAGATGGCCCCAATTTCTCTGACCTCCTGTACCGCTCCCCCACTCTGCAACCCTCACAGCTCTCTAGGGGAGGTGCTGGGGGTGGTGTCAGTTCAGTGGCTGGGCTGGGCTCAGTGGCTTTGCTTGTGGGAGGTCCAGGTTCCTTCCCGGGCTACAAAGCGGGGCAGGAAGGTGCCTCTGTGGACGGACAACTGCCCAGAATTGCCCCGGGGCTGGGGTCATGGCCGGGGCATGGCCTCGCGCTCAGTGCCAGGCAGCCTTCTCTCTTCTCTTCCCTAGGTATGCACCGTTGGGCATCCTGTTCCTGGTGGCCAGCAAGATCCTGGAGAGCGGGGACGTGAGGGAACTGTTCGCCAGCCTGGGCAAATACATCCTGTGCTGCCTGCTGGGCCACGCCATCCACGGGCTGGTTGTGTTGCCGCTCATCTACTTCCTCTTCACTCGCAAAAACCCCTACCGCTTCCTCTGGGGCATCGTCTCGGCGCTAGCCACCGCCTTTGGGACGTCTTCCAGGTGCGGCTGACTCTCCTAGTCCCCAGCCCCGCCCACAATTTTCTGTTTGGGGGCCTTGGGTGTGGGGAATCTGCCGCTCTAGGCCTCTTCTTTCACCCCCACGTCTGGCCCCGGGGCCACTGTTTCCCCAAAGCCCCTTCTGCCCCCGCAGTTCTCTAGTAGCTGCATCCTTCCCTTCTGGGTGTACCCTCCATCTCTGCTGGCCTGTGTGTTTGGAACTCAACTCCCCTTCAGCTGTATCCCCAGAAGCTTCTTGGGGATTCTTTTCTTTTCTTGGGATAATTCTTTTTCTTCTTTCTTTCTTTCTTTCTTTCTTTCTTTCTTTCTTTCTTTCTTTCTTCTCATTATTATTTTTTTAGCTTTGTAATTTTTTTTTGCTTTTTGGGTTGGCTGGAGCGACAGTGCAGTGGGTAGGGCGTTTGCTTTGCACGTGGCTGACCTGGGTTCGATTCCTCCGTTCCTCTCGGAGGGCCCAGCAAGCTACCGAGAATATCCCGCCCACATGGCAGAGCCTGGCAAGTTCCCAGTCGCCTATCGGATATGCCAAAAATAGTAACAAGTCTCACAATGGAGACGTTACTGGTGCCTGCTCCATGAACAACAGGAGGACATTTTGGGTCACACCCAGCGATGCACAGGGGTTACTCCTGGCACTGCACTCAGGAATCACTCCTGGTGGTGCTTGGGGGACCATATGGGATGCTGGGAATTGAACTTGGGTCAGCCACATGCAACGCAAATGCCCTACCCACTGTGCTATCACTCTAGCCCCAGGCTTCGTAATTCTTAGGTCAGAGATCTGATTTTGGGAAGCTCTGGGGTGGGGATGGATGGGGTATGTGTTCGTGAGCTCTTGCCATTATTCAGGGTTAAGTACAGGAAGGTTTTTTTTTTTTTTAAATTTTTTATTAGTGAAACACCATGAGGTACAGTTGTAGACTTACAAATTTTGTGCTTGGGTTTCAATTATACAAAGGCAGGCGGAGTTTCGCCCAGGATTGTTCTGGGGTCTCTTCCAGCTTGCTCTGGGCTCCAGCCCTCCACGCCATCTCCTGGGCCAGCCAGGCGTCTGCCCTCCACTTTTCAATGCCCGCGTTCTGCGGGGTCCGCAGAGCATTTTGCTGTTTGGCCTTGGGAACAGAGAAGGGTGGTGGAGGGGAGTGGGGTGGGACCGTGGGCGGGGCTTGGATTGTGGGCGGGGCCGTGTTCCAGCGGCCTTAAGTGGGCGTGGCCTGGGCAGTGGGTGCTAACCCCGCACGCTGCCCCCTCAGCTCCGCCACGCTGCCGCTGATGATGAAGTGCGTGGAGGAGAGGAATGGCGTCTCCAGGCACATCAGTCGCTTCATCCTGCCCATCGGTGCCACCGTCAACATGGATGGCGCTGCGCTCTTCCAGTGCGTGGCCGCGGTCTTCATCGCTCAGCTCAGCCATCGTTCCCTGGATTTCGTGAGCATCATCACCATCCTGTGAGTGCCCCCGGGGACCGGGACCCACCCTCCCCATCCACCGTAACCTCCTTTCTTGAACGTGGGTGACCTGCCGCCCCTCCTCCCCTAGGGTCACCGCCACTGCATCCAGCGTGGGTGCAGCGGGTATCCCGGCGGGAGGGGTGCTGACCCTGGCCATCATCCTGGAGGCTGTCAACCTGCCCGTGAACATCTCCCTGATCCTCGCTGTGGACTGGCTGGTGTAAGTGCGGGGCTGGGAGCACCGCGGGGCGCAGGAGAAGACAGGAAAGAGTTCTAGAGGAACCTGACTGCATGGAAACAGGAGAAAGTTCTTTTAGAAGAACCCCAGAAAGATAAAATACCCAAATGGTTAATAGAGTAGCATTTTCTGTTGGTGGGGCCACACCCTGCCGTGCTCAAGGACTGGGGGTGGGGGAACCCAGGACTTCACACATTCAAAGCTCATAGAATACACTTTTTAACTTGTGTGTGTGGGGGGGTGGTATCCCCCTTTGTAAAAAACATATCCCAAGTGAGCAATGGATAAAGAAATAGACTTCTACCAGTGCCAGAGAGATGATACACAGGTAGGGAGCTTGCCTTGTATGCAACTGACCCAGGTTCAACCTGAGCACCAAATATGGTTCCCAAGCCCTGCCAGGAGTGATCCCTGAGCACTGCCAGGTGTGACTGGAAAACAAAACAAGGGACTGAAGAGAGAGTCTAGTGGGTAGGCACTCCCATTGCACATAGTCAAACCGGGTTTTATTTCTTGCATCCCATATGGATCTGGAGATCTGCCAGGAAGTGATCCCTGAGCACTGAGCCTGGAGTAAGCTTTGTGTGGCCAAGAAACAAAAAGAGAGAAAGGAACTAGGGACTGGAGTGGTAGTACAGTGAGTAGAGTATTGCACGCGGCGTCTGACCCAGGTTCGATCCTCAGCATCCCATTTGGTCCTTCAAGCAAACACCAGGAGTAATTTCTGAGTGCAGAGCCAGAGTAACCCCTGAGCATGGGCGGATGTGACCCAAAAAGTTAAAAAAAAAAGTAGAGAAAAGAAATAGACGTCTCTCTGTGGATCCCTCAGGGAACCCACTAAATGAGAAGTCACATGCATCAGAAGGATCAGGGACCCTGCTACCCCATAGGAAACACCCAGCCCTGCACACCCAGGGACTGATGAGATGGTTCAACAGTGCAGGCTTTGCTTGGAGGAAGCCTGGGTTTTGAGCCGCAGCACCCATGGGACCCTGAGCACAGAGCCAGGAGTCCACAAAACCAAGTGTGGCCCCAAAGAAAAAGGGAAGAGAGAAAAAGAAAACTGGGTCAGGCACCGGAGCGATAGGGCGTTTGGGTAGGGCGTTTGCCTTGGGTCGACCGGGGTTCGATCCCTGGCATTCCATATGATTCCCCCAGCACTGCCAGGAGTAATTCCTGAGTGCAGAGCCAGGAGTAACCGCTGAGCATCGCTGGGTGTGACCCAAAAAGAAAAAAGAAGAAAAAAGAAAACTGGGTCGCAGAGTTCTGGAGGGGGCTGGGAGGATGGGTGCGTGGAGTGGGGTAGGCTGGAGGCCCACTCTGTCCCTGTTATTGCCCGCAGGGACCGGTCCTGCACTGTTCTCAACGTGGAGGGCGACGCCTTTGGAGCGGGTCTCCTGCAGAATTACGTGGATGGTTTGGAGAAGCCAAGCTCAGTGCCGGAACTACTCAACATGACGACGGAGCCGCCCCTCCGCCCCGAGGAGGGGAACCCCCTCCTCAGACACCGCCCGGGGCCTGCTGGGGATGCAGCCACCTGCGAGAAGGAATCGGTCATGTAGAGCCCAGGAGGCTTGCTGGAGAGGGTTGGAGAGACATGGGCCATGTCCTTGCCACACACTCCATGGAGCCGAGGCGCGCGAGCGCCCCCTGCTGCACAGCGGGGAGTCCACGGTCTGGCTGATGGGGTGTATGTGCCGTGTGTTTATGTGTGTGTGAGTATGTCCCTGCACCTTGATCTCTGTCCCCTCCCAGATCTTAGAAACAGCCGTAATGGAGCCTCCCAGCCTCAGGGGCCAGGACACATAAGGACTTGACGTTGGAGAGCAGGACACGGCTCCTATGTGGCCTGTCGGTGCCTGTGCCTGCATGTGTCCACATGCATGGGTGCATATGTGCATGAGTACGCATGCATGCGTGCACATGTGCGTGTTCATGCACATGTGTTCTGGGATTCCATAGTACAACTCCGCCTGCCCTCCAGCCCCTCTGTTGCCTCAGTCACAATCACTCCTGGGGACCAGGGTGGCATCCCTCCTGAAGACCACATTTAGCGTCAAAGGATGGGATCTTACTCGGAATTTGATGAAAAGCCGCAGCCACAAGGCCTGGTGAAAGCTCAAAGGGTCAGAGCACATGCCTAGCACACACCTGGTGCCAAATTCTTTCCCTGTCACCACATGCCCTCCTCCATTCCCTACATGAATCACGCTGGGGTGGCCCTGGTTTCCCTCGACTGTTCCTGGGCCTGAACTTTAGACCTTCTGGCCCCGTTTGACTGTGTATCACAAGAGTGATTTTCATCCCCCCCCCCCCAACTTGGTTTGAGAGCCCTCCCAACAAATAGAGGAATAAATCTCAAGATGAACTGGGCTTCATTGAAATAAAATCTCTGCTCAGCAGAAAACATAGTCAGAAATCATGGGGTCTCATGCTTGCTCAAAGCCAAGCAGGAGTGAGGAGGGTGTGTAGCCGCAGAAAGAGTGTGTGTGGCCTCAGGAACACGATCTGTTTATTTATTTATTTTTTTGGTGTGGGAACACACCTGGTGATTCTCAGGGGTTACTTGTGGCTCTGCATTCAGGAATCACTCCTGGTGGGGCTCAGGGACCATATGGGATGCTGCGGATTGAATGCAGGTTAGCTGCTCACAAGGCAAGCATCCTCCCTGCTGCACTACTGCTCCAGCCCCTCTGGACAGTGTTTTCTTTCTGGTGCCACATTTGGTGGTGCTTTGGGACTAGTCTCTGTGCCCAGGGGTCACTTCTTGCAGTTTGGAGACCCTTTTATGTTGCCCAGGATCAAACCAGGCTTGGTCAGCAAGTGCCTTACCTGCTGTGCTATCCCCCACAGCTTCTGGGCAGACCCCTAGCAAGTTGAGGACACCCCAGCTGGTAACTTTTGAGACTTTACCCCACAGCTAGTACCCACATATCTAAAGGTGGTGCTCCACCAAATGTCTGAGATTGGAAAGCAAGTCCCTTGGATCAGCTGATGCCACAGGAAAGTGATCTCACTCCATCCACACCTGTGGGATGACAGAGAAGCCACTAAAAGCAAAGCTGGTCTCGTTCTGTTCTGCAGTGCTCAGGGCTTCTATGCTCAAGAGTGACTGCTGGTGGAGCTGGGAATAGAACCTACCGGCCGTAGGCAAGGCAAGAGCCTCACCTGCTTTGCGATCTCCTGCCCAGTCCTGTGTGCACCAGCGCTATGAGAACCCAAAACTTCACTTTTCCCATTGTAGTTGCCACAAGCCCCTATGTCAGCCCTGGAAAATTCCTTTTGGTTATCCTGCAGTGACATTCACAGATGACAGGTGAGCCACTGAGAAGGACTTTTTCTTTGGCTTTTTGGGTCACACCCACTGATGCCCAGGGGTTACTCCTGGCTCTGCACTCAGGAATTTCTCCTGGCAGTGTTTGGGAGACCATGTGGGATGCTGGGGCTTGAACCTGGGTCTGCTGCGTACAAGGCAATATCCCTACCTGCTATACTATTGCTCTAGCCCTGAGAGAAACTTTAAAAAACAATCTCTAGGTATAAGTACCAGAAGGATCACTCCACAGCTTAGAAGTCGGCCTCACATGCTGGCGGAAAAGGGAGCTCAGAGAAGGGATCACGAAGTAAAGGGTGCTAGAAGGGTCCGCTCGGGATGGGAGATGCGGGTGGAAAGTAGACTATAGACCAAACGTGATGGCCACTTATTACCTCTATTGCAAACCACAACACCCAAAAAAAGAGAGCAAGAGGGAATGCCCTGCCATAGAGGCGGGGTAGGGTGGAGGGATGGGGTGGGAGTGGTGGGAGGGATGCTGGGACCACTGGTGGTGGGAAATGGGCACTGATGGAGGGATGGGTACTCGATCATTGTATGACTGAAACGCAAGCACGAAAGTTTGTAAGCCTGTAACTGTACCTCACGATGATTCACTAATAATAATCACTGTCACTGCCACTGTCCTCCCGTTGTTCATCAATTTGCTTGAGCGGGCCCAGTAACATCTCCATTGTTACAATTGTTACTGTGTTTGGCATATCAAATGCATCACGGGTAGCTTGCCAGCCTTTGCCATGTGGGCAAGATACTCTTGGTAGCTTGCCGGACTCTCCGAGAGGGGTGGAGAAATTGAACTCCGGTCGGCCATGTTGGCCACTTGTAAGGCAAACGCCCAACCTCTGTGCTATCGCTAAAAAAATCTCTAGGGCCTGATGAGATAATACAGCCAGCAGGGAAAACACTTGCCTTGTACACAGCCAACCTGGGTTCAATCCCCGTCATCCCATATGGTCCTATAAGCTCCACCAGGAGTGATCCCTGAGTGCAAAGCCAGGAGTAAGCCCTGAGAACCTCCAGATGTCTCCCAAAACCCCAAGAAGGGGAGCAGAGGGCCCCTGGCATCAGCCCACATTACCAAGTGGGATCCAGGGGCTGCTGTTAGGACACCAACATCTCCACACCCCATCACCTCAGCAACAAGTGGAAGAACAAGGCCCCAGACCCTCACATACTGCTTAGAAGGGTGTGAATTGATACGGCTTCTGTGGGTACTAACAGCTCTAGAAATTTAAAGTTGAGGGGCTGTAACAGTAGCACAGAAAGTAGGGCATTTACTTTGCACGTGGCCAATGTGGGCTCAATCCCCTGCATCCCATATGGTCCCCTGAGCACTGCCAGGAGTAATTTCTGAAGTGCAGAGCCAGGGGTAAACCCTGAGCATTACCGGGTGTGACCCAAAAACAAACAAAAACCCCCCAAACCAAACAAAAAACCCCAAAACCAAACAAAAACAGGTCACTGGAACTCCAAGGGTTAGAAACTCCACATCTATCTCCGGCTAGATTGAAAAGGCACATATAATTCACATTTTAATACAGGTGGGGCTGTGCCCCGGAGCCCAGGGCAGACCAGTTGGTACCTGTCACCTGGCCGCTCCCTGAACAAACTGATGGAACACAGGGTGCTGGTGTCTGGTTACCCCTGGCCGGGTCCAATGTTCTGTTTTAAATCTGCTGACAGTCCTTGGCAAGTTTTGAGCAAAACAGAACACAAGCAGCTTCTCTTTCTTTATGTGACAGCAACACTTCCTGGAAAATTTAGAAATTGCTGGAAGCTTGTAAGGCATAATTGTTGGTCTGCAGTGAGTTAGGTTCTGGCTTCTGACCTTCGTCCTTTTCTTATGTTTGGGGTGTCAGGGATGGAATCCTGGCCTTACACAATTGGAAGGCAAATGTTTCACCCCCGAGCTATATCCCAAATTTCTGTTTTTGATTTGGAGGTTGAGGGTGGTGGTGGGAACCTCCCAATGAATGCTCAGGGGTTTTGGTGTCCTGGGCTCAGTGATACTGGATCCAGTGTTGTTCAGGCCACCCCACTGTGCATGGAAGGGTGGTTGAGTGGCGGGAAATGCACCTGGGCCATCTGCAAGCCAGGCCTATGCTCCAGGCCCTTGGGCTATCTTCCTGCCCCCCCCCCCCAGAGCACTCAAGTGCTCTCTCTAGGGCCACACCTGGCGATGCTCAGGTGTTACTCCTGTGCTCTTTGCTCAGAAATTATCCTGGTGGTGCTTGGAGAGCCATATAAGATGCTGGAAATTGAACCTGGGTCAGCCACACGCAAGGCAAGTGCCCTCCCTGCTAGGCCATTACTCTGGTCCCTGGGCCTTCTGTTTTTTGAATCTGGTCTTAAAGCTAAGGGCAAACACGAGTGTATGTAGTGAGCCAGGGTCTGAGATAGGTAGGTGAAAACTTTGATATTTGTGGCCGGATCAACAGTTCAGTGGGTAGGGTACCAGGAGTAATTCCTAACACAGAGCCATAACCCCTGAACATCATTGGGTGGGACCCAAAGGAAAACAAAAAACTTTGTTATTTTCATTTGATTTTATTATTTGATGTTTATCATTTTATTTGAAAATAACTTAAGCCTCACAACACACACAGTCTGACAGTTGCGCCTGTCAACTGAAATAAATAAGATATATCGAGGAAACGGGCCCCAAAGCGGGTGCACAATTGCCTGGGAGAGCCGGCTGCTCAGCGACCATAACTAGTGGGCAGAGCCTTGGCAAGTGATATCCCCTTTCTGGCCTCAGTTTGCCCTGTCTGTAAAATGGAAAGGCTTGCAGCTCTCCGCAGAAAAATGGAGGTGAGGACAGAACCGGAGCATCCACAGGAAACAAGGAAACCACACCTGGCTTTGAGCTCCCTGAATGCCAGTTCTGGTTAGTGCTAAGCGCCCCTGGCAAGGCAGAGCTAACTTGAGGTAAGGATTGTGAAGGAGGATCCAGCTCCAGACCCAGTGCTTAACTATAGTGTGCACTTGGCGAGGCTCCTGCAGAAGGGACACAGGTGGCATTCTGGAAGACACGGAGAGAGGGTCGCCGTGGCCCTCCAGGAAGCACAAGGCTGCGAGAAGCCCCCAAAACTCTGGAGACTTCCAGGTTCTGGTCCCTCTTGGGACCCAGAGCGGGACCAGTGCGCCCCCTGCTGGAGGCAGCGCACACGGCAGCCAGAGGCTCGGGATACCAAAGCCCAGCTGAGATTGGAAGCCCAACCTGGCTGGTTCCAGAACCCGACACCCACTCTTGCCAACCTTTGCCTCCTACATCAGCCCCCAGGGTCTCGGAAATCCCGGGCAGGGCACGACTTCGAGGTCCGGGGCTGTGCTGGGTCTTGCAGGGCCACTTGACCTGATATGTGGCCTGTCTACCTGTGCCACCGTGGATGGCTGGGAACCAAATTGGTACCCATTGGATACGGTGGACAGGGCAGGAGGCCCAATAGACGTGGCTTCAGTCCCTAAATTCTCAACTCCTGCCAAAGCTGCACACGTCCTGGCCCCTATCCCTGGCTGGGTTCCTCGTGCCTCCCCGCCAGACACAGTGCGCTGGGGCCTTCATCCGCTTCCGGCCAAACTCAGCAGCGCTGGGTTGGGGTACTCAGGGTTCTCAATGACCCCGGGCCCGAACTTGAGTTCCAGGAAGCGTCGGTAGTTATTGGGCGCCTGCGCCACAAAGCCCGCGAAGGCCAGTGGTACCAGGGGCTGCAGAAAGTGCTCAGGGAACTCCACGTCCTGCCGGTGGTCCAGCCACGTGTCCTTGGTCATGACCCCGTTGCGTGGGTAGAAGGGCCACAGGTCCACGTGCAGGTGGTTGCTCTCGCTGTACTGCACGCGGAAAAAGTCGCCCTCCACCGCCTTCTCCCACACGAAGCCGCGCTCATCCACCACTGAGCCCGCCTCGGCCCCACGCAGCTGCTCGCAGTTGCCCACGTCCTCCAGGTAGATGCCCAGGTCCACGTCGTAGTCCCACGGGATGATGTCGCCATGTCGGGCCGCCCCCAGCAGCGAGCCACCCT